AAATAAGGCTGGGGATATGGCTCAATGGTCAAGTGCTGGAGCTCTAACAATGAGTTTGTCACCTGAGGTACTGGGGGACTGAACCCAGAGGCATTTAATTACTGAGGCACATTTCCAGCCAATTTTTTTTTTTTTTTTTTTAAATTTTGAGACAGGGTCTCCATAAGTTGCTTAGGGCTTCACTAAGTTGTTGAGCCTGGCTTTGAACTTGGAATCCTCCTGCCTCAGTCTCCTGAGTCCGTGGGATTACAGGTGTGGGCCACCACGCCTGGCTATGGTTATATGGAATTTTCAAATATATGTAGAAATCAATTGAACAGAAGGAGATTCTATGGTCAAATGAAATCTTAAAGGACAAATCTAACAAAGTCATGTTGGACGTGTAAACAACAGTTTGTGTACCCAAGACATTAATAATTCTTTCCATGTACACTGGTGCAACTAAAACAAACACTCTAGCAGTATAAGGGACKTTTTTCCTCCCAAGTTTTGTTAAAGTTCTCTCTCTCTTTTGATACCCGGGATTGAACTCAGGGGCATTTAACCACTGAGCCACATTATCAGTCCTCTGTGTTTTATTTAGAGACAGGGTATCACTGAGTTGCTTAGGGCCTCACTAAATTGCTGAAACTGGCTTTGAACTCAAAATTCTCCTGCTCAGTCTCCAGAGCCACTGGGATTATAGATGTGCACCACTGTGCCTGGCTAAAGTTCTCTTTTTCCCAAAGAATAATGGCTTGACTACTGACAATATCCAAGCTAACAKGAAGAAGAGAATGAGAGGATTTAAAGCCATGTCTATAGATGCTCAATTTTTATCCTATACACAATATATTATCAAGACTACATAAAGTAATACTTTAAAAGTTAATGATACTATGTGATTCATTTGGCATTAAGGGTTAACACTTACCTTCTGCGCTTCGTCTTTTCTCCTTCACGTGTTCTTGAGCAGCACAGATAATCTGCCTTACCACTTCAAGTGAAGCCAATTGAATGGAAGGTGATTCTCTGGTTAAAATTACTCGGTGCAGCACATTCAGCAACTCAATACCCAAATCCTATCATAGAAAACAAGTAGTGGATAGGATATTATATATCATTGTGTTTTGTTTTTGGTAAAATATACTAGTGTTAAATGTCATTTTGACAAAATTCAGAAAAAGAGAATATGACATATTGCTTATAAAAAATAAGGATGTTAGTGTAATAAAGTTACAAATAATCTTAAACCAACTCCAGACTGTTTTGTCCAGTCTTTGTGGGAGATGGTACTATGACAAAAGATCATTTCCACATACGTCCTAAACTGGGAAAAATGGAAAGGAAATTTCCAAAACAAGATGGGAAACTTAACTAAAGAACACAAAGGCTGACATGTAGGTTATTAAATTTACATTAAAGTTTCTACTAATAATGAAGAATGAAGGAGAGGTAGAGTGTTAAAATGGATCTCTTTTTTTTTGAGAGAGAGAGAGGGAGAGAGAGAGAATTTTTAAAAAATATTTATTTATATTTTTTAGTTTTCAGCAGACACAACATCTTTGTTTGTATGTGGTGCTGAGGATCGAACCCGGGCCACACGCATGCCAGGCGAGCATGCTACCGCTTGAGCCACATCCTCAGMCCCTGGATCTCTTTTTTTAAAGAATAAAATACACTGCAGAGATACTATTTAATTTCTCCTTCTCTTTTTTTATTAGTTACTCTGATTGCTTTCCTTTATTTTTGAAAATAATAGAGTAAATCTGTCATTAYAATACTTGTTTTAATAGAGAAAACAACACAGAGTTTATGATTTACTTATGTCCAACTCAAGTCTGGTAAGAACCTGCTAATGTTTTAAACCTAGCAAATCATAGTATTAAATAATAGTCTACGTAGAGAGGAAATCAGATCTCCTGTTTACCTTAACACCTGAGTCAATGGCAACAAAATTAATATACTGGATAATACATGAAGCTAACAGTGCCTGCTGAATGCATATTTACCCTTGAGAGAAGCAGCAAAAAAAGAGTCACACTTTGTATAGCAATTATTTTACCACGGCCACAACTCCACCTACAGGCTAGACAACAGTCTCTTGAAAAGACCTGGTAGGAGAACTTGCCAACAAGAATACTTTAAAATGGATAGTAACTATAAGACCCAATCAGATACTTTCTTGGGAAAATCGAACATAAGATACAAGTGAATGCAAAAATTGGGGTTCACAGAAACAGAGCAAAGAAAGAATACCATGTATACCTAGCAGTTACTGTCCTGGACAATTCAATATGGAACCTTCCTATCACTGCAAAAAGCAGAGACAGAAGTGGCAGCCAGAAGTATGATAGCTCCTGGGTCATCACACATGCTGATGGCATKCTGGTTCCAAGGCCCAGCTGTGCCTTGTAATCTTAAATGACTTCTCTTTTTACTTTTGTGTTAATTTCTGCTTACTGTAGTAATCTGAACATATTTGTATTCCTTGAGATCTACAGAAGCCCCCCYAAAACGAGAAATCACCTGATCACTGCCAATTTTAGATCTGGGCCAAGGAACATCTAAAAGGGCTTGTAATGCATGTAAACATGCAGTAATACTTTCCATGGTTGCATCTGAGCGCAATGAACATAGAAATTCCACACTGATTCCTATAGGAAGCAAAAAGAGAAGGAGGCCGCTTTTGAGATTCTTACATCATGAAGTTAAATAATATCCTGTTTTTTTATAAGATACAAATAAACTTAGCAAAAAGGTAGTACAAATTAAATTACAATGACTTTAAGACCAAAACCCATAAATTAATAATGTTAAGTCTCTTAAATTTTGTTATCTATATATACACAAAGAATAATTTCAACTAGGCTTGTGTACAATTTGCTTAATTGCTATTAAGTTGTTCAAAGATGCAAAAATTACAATAAAATTGTATTAGGGAARTTAGTATGTAGAACTTCACAACTCTATTTTGACTAAAATTTGAGTGATTATCATGTATCAGGCACTATACTTTGCATATATCATTTTACTCAATTTTCATAATATGAGATGAA